CAGAGCTGCCAGGTAACTTGCCCACAGTCACCCAGTTCATAAGTGGCAGAGCCCTGAGATTTGAAGCCGGGTCCCTCAGGGGCCAAAGCCTGGGTGCACCTTCCACTCAGAATAGCTCAAGTGGAAGGGGGTGTTGATTAGAGATGCCTCAGGCATGTCCTGGAGCCCAACCATGGGCCTTGAGGTCCGATTTCACGAAAATCTGGAATCAGGAACTGGAGAGGAGGCAGGCCGCCCTGCTCTCACAGCCCCTCCAACCTCAGGTCCCCCTGGTCACATTCCCTGCAGTCCGAGAGCCCCAGGAGCCCCAGCAGCTGGTTTGATCTTAAAGAGCATGAGGGCTCCCCAAGAGGAGGAATCTGATTGGGCCAGCTTAAGTCAGGGGCAGCCACCTCTGGACCAGTCAGCTCTGTGTGACTGTAGGGGCCACGCCTGGGGCAAAAAACACAAACAACACAAAACGGCAAAGCTTGGAGAAAAGGCAGGGGCTGTGGGTGGGCAGACAAGCCAGAGGGTGAGGGGAACAGAGGGCCCAGCAGTGAGTAGAGTGATTTTCTTAAGTGCTGTCTTGAGTCCCACATGTCAAACAAATGGAAAGAGATTGATGTTGGGACATTTCCAGAAGATGGTGCCAAAAATAGCTTCATCTCTTCTGTGGCATCTGGTTTGCCGCACTATTTCATTAAATCCCCACTTGTTGCGCTATTTAATTAAATCCCCACAATCATCTTGGGCAGCAGGTGTTATTATCCCCATTTTACAGATGAGGAAACTGAGGCTCAGGGACATAAAGTAACTTGCCTAAAACCACAGGGTTGGTAAGCGGCAGAGCAGGGATGGGGCCTGGGCCTCTTCAGTGCTGAAGGGGACAAGCTTTTCTGGGCGACTCTCAGCCAGCCCGAGGAAGTGCAGGCATCAACCAGGGACAGAAAAGGCTTGGAGGGAAAGGGGGAGAGGAGCTACGTTTTGGAAGGAGGGGCGCTTCAGTTTTAATGACCCTCCTTGTTTATTGCCTTTATTTGCTTGCTGTTCAAGTCGGTCCTGTTTATAGCAGAACGTTTGGGACATGAGAACCATTGTGGGTCATTTCGAAGGGCAGAATCTGAATTGGCAGGAAAAAGGAGTTAACAGGAGTAGCCCTGGCGTAATTGCTCGTAAACTTCTCACTTGGTGTTGTCGTCCCATGGGGGGTGCCCTACCTCCCCAGAATTCAAGGCCGGGCTGCCTGGATCACAGCCCAGCGGGGGTGCTGCAGGAAACTTCCTGCTCCAGGAGCCTGGACTTCCGCGAGCCCTTCACCAAGGGAGACATTGTGCCGTAGACCCAGACACGGGCCTGAGGGTGGAGACCGAGGCAGCGAACACAGGAGCACAGGAGGGTGCTTGCTACTCTCCCCTGGAAAGAGGCAGCTGCCAGCCTGGCCCTGGGTGGGGGCGGCAAGAACCCCTGGAATAAGCCCGTGTTGGAACCGCCTTCCCCATGGAGGTCCTTGAGCAGAAGCACAATAGCTGCACCGCGAATTCCCCTCGCTGCAGCTTGGCATGGGGGTGGGAGAGCCCAGCTCAGGGGAGGGGGCACCCAGGCACCCTGGGGTCCTGAGATGACGAGGCAGCAGATCTGTGCTGTTCCTCCTGGGAGCAGACCCCCTCAGGAGCACGGTGCTATGGGTCACTCTTCCATTAAGAGGGGGGGTAGCGGAGGTGATAGTACGAGTAATAATAGAGGCTAACGTTTATTGGGTGCTTTTCATGTGTGACGTCATGTGTATGCTTCCTGCCGTCTAATCCTTATGAGATCCACCTTATTGTCATGTCCATTTTGCAGTCAAGGAATCAGGCCTGGCT